CAACAGCGCCTTGGATCTAGGACAAAGAAGAAGACAGAGAAAAGAATGAAAAAGAGAAAAGACCGGATATCGTCACACCTCCAGCTACCCAGCAATCCAACTCCCAAAATCTAACTTCATCAACAACCGATCCACGCCCCCTAACCTCGCAGGAACATACCCCATATGCCCATCCCCCTCCCCCCCCTCCCCCTCCTCCGGCTCCGCAAGCGCCTGTCCATCCCATTCAGCCAAAAAGGAAGGATCTGATTCTAGCGCCCGGAGTGCATGAACGGCATCCTGGATCCCGTTCTTGACTTTCTTATGCAGTGTGTGGAGGGACCCAAGAAGCTGGCCTTGCTCGCGGTCTCGGTCAGAGGAGCTAGTCGTGTCGAGGACGCCGGCGTCGTGGTGGAGGTCCGAGGACGTGAAGAGAGAGTGCAGGCGATGAAGATGGGTTGCTAGGTGGTCGATGTGGGTGAGGAGGGCGTAGAGGGGTTGCGTGAAAGAGGGCTGGGTGAGGAGGAGGCGGTGGGTGAGGGTGCGGAGGTAGAGAGTGTGGGCTGTGGAGAGCGTTTCAGGGTCGTGTGATGATGAGGCTGAGGGAGCGAGTGTTGGCTTATTAAAGGTCGGCGTGATGGGGTCAGAAAAGGGCGCATATCGGGAGCGAGAGCGGGAGCGGGATTGAGAGTGCGAGCGGGAGGCGGAGGCAGAGTGTTGAGATTCCTTGGATGGTGGTGGGAGGAGCCACGTGTGGAAGTGGTCCCAGAGACCGGCGACGATTTCCGTCTGGAAGTAGGCTTCTGTCTCGCCGAGGAAGAAGATGGCCGCGCTGGCTGTGGTCCACGAGCTGCGGAGGAGCCAAGCACGGTCAGACCAGCGCTCGCGAAGCGTGACGGCGTAATCCGAGGTGCCGCGTGGAGAGGGATAGTGGCGACGGAGCGATGTGATCTTCCACAGGTCCGTAAGGCGGATGTGTGCTCGGCGGAGCGATAGAAGATAGGAGTTGATGGAAGAGTAGAGCTGCAGGTCCGACGCCGAGATGACCATGTCGAGCGGCGAGGGGAGGTCGATGCTCAGCATGGCCGGCACGCCAAACAACATGTTGCGAAACGGAGACGCGGCCACATGGCTTGCCGCTTCCACATCGAGCCCTCTGCCCGTGGCCAGAGCAGCCGGCGGCCTGGCCTTGGTCAGATGGAGCTGTATCAAGCTTCTGGCCAGGTCTAGCTGGTCGTCTTCTTCCGCGTGCTGGCCCTGCATGGACACGAGAACCGCCCACGTCCGGTTCAGCACGGCAGCCACTTCCCCATCTTTGACCGTCACGTTTTTGACGCTTTGATCACCGTTGTCGTGCGCCAGATGAGAAGGATGATGCCCTGTCCCGGTCACCGCCCTTCGCCACCGGTTGCGAATCTTCTCATCGGCCTCGTGTGTCAGCGCCATAGCAAACTCGCCCCGTCCGAGGAGGAAAAATTCTCGGAGCAGATGCATCATTTCCGACACTTTTGCCAGTGGCAGCATCTGCTGCAGAGTGGTTTCAGATAGCGACGTGCGGATAGCCTTGATTGCCTTGGAAAAGTCAATGCTTTCAAGCGGTAGGGATAGCGTGGACAGCTCAGACAGTTTGGCGGCAACGTGAACAACCCCCGTGGACGTGGAGCTCGTGTTTATGGATCGAACGTGGTGAAGGGATTTTCCAATAAAGAGCATAGACGATGCTGTCGCGCCTGTGACAAAAGAAGGTAGACAATCTGCCACGCAAACGTAGTCACGGTCGTTTGGGGTACCCTGTATCGTCGTCGTCTGTACGAAGAAGTCGTCGGCCCCGAAGCTCGGGAGTCTCCCATATAGCACCCATGCCGAAACCTGCTTCAGCCACGCCGTCTCGGCCGCCTTTACCAGACTTTCCGCCGTAGCTGCCACGTCCTGATATCCGCTCTGCAGCTCGTCACGCAAGCGATCGATCAGTGCAGCGCCGCGGCAAGCCCACCCCTCTCCGTCTCTCGCCATGATGAACCGCACCGTATCCCATAGCCACTCCAGCCGTCTCGTCCACTGCTGGAATTCGCTCATGACGGCCGTCAGGGGCACAATATTGTAGGCACCCACCAGACCCGCATCGTTCCGCAACACGCTCGCCTCTACGTCTAGCACCTTGCGCTGAAAGGCAGCTAGGTGAACGGAGCTAATGGCCGTACAGACGGCTCTGCAGATCGTACTGGGATGAGACGTGGCCGTCTCGGAAGTGTAGGCGATTAGCTTTGTGTGTAGATGACTTATGTGGCCAGCGGAAGAGAGCAGTTGCCGTTCAGGCGGGCTGATTCCTGCGAGGGCGTCTGCTTCGGGCGAGCTTGGCGGGCGTAGGAGAGGCGACGGATGGCCGGAGAGGGACAGGAGGATTTCGTGGAGCATCGCGTGTTGCTTCGTGCCGCCTTCCTGCGCTTGATTGCGTCTTGTATGTCGTGGGATATAAGAATGATGGCCCCGAGCAGCTCGAATCGACACATGGACGCGCAGCTGCGATTTTAGTGGGAGGCCTGATGGCGCCCCAGGGCACGTATTTTGGATGGCGAGTAAATTGGAAGTCGAAACGCTTCGTGATCTGCAACGGCGAGCTTCGAGATGGGGAGGTGGAGCCGCCGTGTATGGCCAGCAACGGGAATTGAAGATGACGTGACGTGAGGTGATGTCGAGAAGTCGTGAAGAGACGCGTGTGGAGTTGAGGGGGTCCGCCAACGCGAAGGCGAACGCGCAGACACGTGATCTGCATGAAATTTCATCATGCCGGTACATACATAATCTGATCAGTGATACATATGTAAGAGGTATTTATAATCTCTTCTTTATGTACATACATACACATATCTTCTGCAGGCTGCAATGTATCGCCCCCGCAGCATTACACGACCTCAGCCTGCTCTTGACCATCGACTCGTTTATGAGTACTACTCTGTACCTACATGCACCGTCTCCAACGGACGTCCCTTCGTGCCTGCAGGCAGTTCGCATATCCTCACCCCATTATGACCATGAGTCGTCTTCCTAGGCTTTGCCTTTGCCGCTGCCTTCTGCCACCCCGGATCCCGCTTTGTCCGTTTTTTCTCCGCCACCGACAATGACCTTGCCGCCACCCTTGACATTTCCCACCACCATTCCCTTGGCCACGCTCTTCAAGACTGCGCGTCGAGAAACGCCCGTCACGTCAATGTAGACGAGGCCAACATTCTTGACGCCACTGCCGAGATTGCGAGACACCTCACCGGCCTCAGGGCCCCATTTGTGTTCAACGACATGGCTGACGCTGGACGAGGTGCTGGTTAGCAAGCTACGTCCGGCTTGCTCCATACCATCCACGACGGTGTTGAACGCCATGAGGCTCTTGTTGAGCATTCCTGGCTTGTAAGTCTCAATGGGCTTGCCGTCCTTGTCGAAGCCACGCGCACGACCACCCTTTCGCTTGGATAGGTTGGCGCCGAAGTTTTGCGCAACCTTGGAAATGGACCCGACTGTGGACGCTGACAAACCTGCAGCCTTGGTGGAAAAGTGATTGATCCTGCGGATGTGCGCGTGAGTCGTAGGCGTGAATGTGACAGGCTTTGTGTTGGGCTGGGTATTCTTGGCGTAGTTTTCAGCCTGGCTGCTGAGGGTTTGCGCGACATAATCCGATGTCGTTATGAGAAGACGAGACGCTCGCATTCCCATATTGAAGATGGTGGACTTCTTGTAGGCTGGATGCACCCTGTCATTCTCATCGTCATCATCATATCCCGATACGGGCTGAACCGTGATGGCCTGTGACGCATCGGTGGGCAGTTCGATTTCGACAGGATCTGTCCCGCGACTAGATTAGCAAGACGTAGAGGAACACGCCAGTCAAGGACACTGAGTGAAGGACACAAACCTTTGGATCCGGGCTTTATGGCCGTGTCCTCTACCACCTGAAATCCGTCGCCTAGCTCCCCAACGACACTGCCATCTTCTTCGTCCACCAGAACAATACGGCCTCCCTTGGAGGCTGAGCTCACGCTACCATGAGCATAGCCCTCGCCTTTCGCGAAGCTGGCAGGGTCATACGCTGGTGGCTCATCACCAGCGGATTTCTTCGTCTTGGCAGAAGACACCGGAACGGATGATGTCTTACTCCCCGAGGGCCCAGGGGCCGTGGCGCGTTCCAGAAAAGCAGTGCATTGCGCGAGAATGGTCTCGAAAGTATCGACGTCTTCTTGAATACCAGCGCGAGAGCCAATGGCCGGAAATTCAATTCGTGTGAATGCGCCGCTGTCGGGTCCAAGATCCCAGCGAGGAATCAGGTAGCTCGTGGGGGGCTGATGGTAAATCTGTGTCGTGGCGGGGAGAGGTAGATCGAGCTCGGGTGACAAATGTAGATGCAGATAGAAGTCTTGCGGACCCGATCCAGGGCCAGAGGGGTTGGAAAAGCCAGACGATGTTGATACCATCAGCAAAGACAAGGTCTCGGGCCCGAGTGGGTTGAGTGGTTGTTCATTGCCTTGGGCAATGTGATAGGCCTTGATACCCTCGACAGCGTAGAGGAGCTTCGGATCCTGCAGAGAAGATTCGTTCAGCATTAGGGAATTGGCGGAGGGAAGCTATTGCAAGGGCTGAGATATCGCCTACATTGCTTTCTGAAGCCATGGTGAAGACGGTGAAGAGTCAGAAGACGTGCTTGAGAGCTACACGACGAGCACAAGAGGGATTGTGATACAGTCGGGGCGGATCTGGATGTCTTCAGTCGTGTTGTCGCGCCAGCCAAGCTAGGTACCTATGTAGGTACATGTACATACACATGAAGTGGCTGCAGGTGCGGGGGAGGGCTATGACGACATATATTAGGTGCCTACCATCTACATAACCCCTGTCTGGCGGGAAACAAGCTTTCTTTGCCAGAACTATTATGTACATAGAAGCAATGAGCGAAAGCTTGCTCGAGTTCCTACATTCCGTGACCAGCCATAATGAAACCAATATATACAGTACTATCAGGTAGTATTGACATCGTCGGGCGAATGGTTTAGTGGTATAATACTCCCTTAGCATCGTTGAAGTATCGACGTACAGCCTGGGAGTGGTCCGGGGTTCGATTCCCCGTTTGTCCATACGGTCTCCGCACTTGATGTGGTTGCTTTTTTTGAATCATCCATCGGAAAGTTTGGACAGGGAAGTACGATGTTTCTGCGTCACGTGAATGTTTGTCATTGGACTGGGCTTGTAAATGAGACCATCGTTCGGGTACTCACCAACTCCATACACACTCCGTAAGTCATGCCCGACATCATCGACATCATCAAGGGGAAGGCCTCGCAGAAACAATCGTCTAGCACTGTGCAAACTCACGTGAGGTCTGACTTAACTTTCCCATCAAATGTCTTCTGACTTCTCAATTCCCCATACTCCGTACTCTGTCCACATGGAAATGGACCCTGGGGGAGGGAGTATGATGGTCTGGCTTTGCTCAGTCCTCAGTGTGAGAAACGCATAACCACCCGTTTCGCCCAAAAGGTCAAGTGACCAAGTTGCACGTCTGCAGCTTGATCAAGGTTATATAGTGCATTGCCACTCCCTGCCGCACAGGTCGTGACACTCAGCAATGTATGTGTCAATTGTACAGCGTTCAGGAACTTGTACAATACGTATTATTTCGTTGTCTTCCGTGGCGCTACGGAATTGGGCATGTCACCCAGACGGCGCAGACACTCGCGAACAGCTCATGGAGCTAGGCCATCACAGGGAGGCAGAATACCCTCCCTTACAGGCAGGTCTTTCGGCGCGTCCGCCGAGCTTTTCCTGTAGTGCGGATGGCCAGTGGGCGTTGACCACGAAGAAGAAAGAGCTGCAAAGCATGTGGTTGACGACCTTTCGTAGGGAATTGGCTCTTTTAGGCACGCTTTTTACTGTTTGTCAGCCTCACCGTTCGGCCGCGCTTACAAAATGTCAATCGTCCGTTGTCACCGCTGCACCTCCGAAGTTCCAATTGTCCGGGTGCGGTTGGCACGCCGCCCATTCTGTTCGTGGATCTCGAGGGATAAGTGGTTTACTAACCACCTACTCGTGGGACAATGCAGAGTTCTCGCGTATGATCGTGTATGATCCGATGTGTACTTCAACTCGATGGGTACGTGTTTGCTACCCAGAATCTGATGAAGCTACAATCAGATATTGGTAGACATCGGATATTTTCTTGCGCACGTCAGCAGGCCAGTACAGAAGCACCAGAAAGTATGGTCTGTGACGATCATTTGAACGCGATGCCGTCGTGCCAGTACGACAATCATCTTGAATGAAGAGCACAGGCAAGTCAAGAACCCAAGAGGGTAAATCGACTCCAAAAAGGATTTTGGAAGTGGCTTGCTGGCCGGACTTGACTGAGCGGTCACTGATTGACGCTCTTGCCTTCGTCTTGTCATTGTATGCCTGCTGCGCAACTCAAGGTCGAGATTCTTTGACTGGCCAGGTGTTTTCGAACGACACTCCGGTACGAAATTGATGTGTGTTGGACTCGTGAGCTACTGGCGCACAGAATTTCAGGTTATCGTCGCCACACAGCTTGCAAACGAGAGTTGAATACTTCCAGCCCTTCAGCGTCAAATAGGGGCTGATGAGAAAGCTACGCTAGCAACGGTCCTGTTCCATAGCAAGCATTTTGAACAAAACCGAGACGAAGTCATGCAGGTGGATTGCCTTCCCAATGATGAGAAGTGGCAATTTGATCTCGTCAGACAGTCGCCGTAGACTGCGCAGCTTTACAGGCGAATCCGATGGAGCCTGTTGAGACCGATGATGTGGTCGGCCATTATCACTACAGGTTGAGACCAATTTGTTATGGGGTAGTGACTGAGGGGGATGATCAGGTACAGTCAGAGCTACCAGAAGAACTCCGCCAGTATAGACAGTAGACTGGCATCTGAGTATACTGAAAGGTCGTATTGTCTTGACGTACTCGCGTACTGACGTTGGCAATCGCAGGTCATTCTTTTTTGGTATTGGCGGCTGTCCGGCAACATAGACGTTAGCTCTTCAGTGCATAAGCGTCAACAGAGAAGTGATGGTTCCCCTCTCCAACCGCATAGGATGTGGGAGGTCCAAGGGTACCTGGTTCTGGGCCCAGCAACAGACTGAGGCATGAGGACTCGTTCACGGTAATGTGGCAGCGCAAGCCAGAGTACAAATTCACTGGCACAGACCATCACAGATCAATAATGACACGGATTCTTTCATATGATAGCTTCCTGCAGCTTTCCGCCAAGTTGAACACTACATATCCCTCTGTCAGAGACTCTCCTTCTCCGCTTCTGGGATAAGAGCGACCCAAGCCACGGTAGGGGTCGTGGTATGTATGCTGGAGGGCTCAGGGAGGTGACGCAGAAAGACGACTTTTCGGCTGCAAGCTTATGATATATCATTTTGCTTCATCAAAACAATGCTGATGCGGAAGCCTCACTACAATACGACTCAAATTTCTCTGGCTTCGTCATCTTCCATTTTCACTTGCATTATCCTCCTTGCACAGCATGCAACACCATGTATCCATCCTCGAGGGTCAAAGCTGAGGTCGTGATAAGAGCTATCCCATTGTGCCCGATAGCAAGCTTTGCCTCACTACTTTTGACCATCGGAGATCAAGAGGACGAATGGGCTATTGGCTATCCAAGCGATCCAGAACAAGAGGCCAGACGGCGTGGAAAGGGCCCCACGACTTAGTTCCTGGATCAAGAAGCGTGCCCCTGGGTTGCCCTCGATAATATCGCAAGTATATTGGGAGAATCACATGGGTGGTGGGCCGGCAAAGTTGTACAGTGCTTTTGGAAGACAGCGTGGGGGTTTGGACGTATGTGCCGCGCCATACACTCGCGATGCCCGATCGCAGAAAAGCAGTCTGGCACGTAGTCGAGACTATCCATGCACAATAGTCCATGGATGAGGAATGCAAAAAAAGTCCTCGATGTGACGGCGGAGCAGCTTGTTTGAGGTTGTAGCCACATCACACACCGAATTTGATGCCACGAGGGATGCGTGAGTTACAGTTGACGTCTTCAGTTTGGCATACTCCATCCCGTGCCTTTACGACAACCAGGAGAACAAAGCGGACTTTATGGTTACCTGGAGCCAGGAACGATAACAAGGGTGTAGCACCGCCAAGCTGGTACCCTCACGTTCGGTTGGCTCGGCTATGCATGGAGGCGGTGGCTGATGGCCGGCCACTTGACCAATCGACGGGCGGAGAGTCGTACTTGAATAATGTGCGTCTGTCGCGTCTTGCGAGTTCAATCACGAGGACTTTCTGATAGTGGGCTGACATGCAAGAGGCCGAGACATATCAAATTTGCGGCAGAGGATGGGCGATCAAATGAGTCAGAACGAGGACAAAAATCGGGTTCCCCAATCCGACGAGGAAAACGTTGTACATACTCGCGACTTATGCCGACTTCGCGATATTTCCGCTGAGGTTGCATCAGTCTAGATGTGTCTCAGAACGTTGCACGGAACACAGTGCAAAGCCGGGCTAAATGCATATAGCTTGTCCTAGCGATGTTGCATTCCGTTAAAAAGCAGAGAAGCAGGACAGGCCAACAACATCTCACCATCACACGTCGCACACGTGTTTGTACTCCTTATTGCGGTCAACGCTTGGAGCTGGACCGAAGCGACCGTTGTCAACCGGTGCCAACTTGAACATGGTTTCGCCCGAGTGTGTTGTGGAATAACACTACGACTTGAGAACCTGTCAAGTGAAAAGAGGCATACGCGGGAGGGCTTTGTGTAAAAGTTGCTTGCCTCATGATTCCGTCGTGCATTTTTTGCTTTCATGCAATAAGTTATCGATCAGTATTGCAATGTCACATCGAGGCAATGTACTCTATTTCCTAGTCTCTCTATTGTTCAGTGCTGCGTCATGCTTTCCTAGTCGCAATCCAAATCTCACTCTTGAAACTGACATATCAGCCGCATACAGATCGAGTTGCATCCAAGCGTTACATTGTGGTAGGTGATAGAATATCAAGAAGCGACTTGGGTGATTCCCCTCCTCGCATTGGCATCATGTTCACTGGAAGCATGAGGCCGGAAGGGTGTGTCGGTCAACATCACTGCTGTCCTTTTTTTTTTTGCGTTTGCTCTCTTTTTTGCTGCGTCATTTTTTTCTCAGGGTCATTCCTGTGTTTCCGATAGCTTGCATTTGCGTGCGAGAAGCAAATCCGCCCTCGTGTCTGCTTCATGCGGCGTACAGCAAGCTCTTATTTTGGGTCACGACTTATACACACCTCTCTCGCGTTTGTGCCTAATAGCCAATGGACAAGACACAAGGGCGATCACAAGCAGGGGCAGGACTGTCTTGATTAAGTTCAAGCAGTTGATTCGCTGGACCCTGAGGCTTGCTCTTGGTCGGACTCTATGAGACGAATGTGATGGACATACGTGAGGCGTGCATGATCCGCCATTTATGTGGCAGATTGGGCCAGGAAACATGCCACAATGGAGGTCCGAGGGTTGATTCAAGCGCCACGGCTGAATAGATGTGTTGTGATCTTCCAGAGGTGCCTCACATATATCGCGAAATGAAGCAGAACGATGACGTGCAAGTCAATCATCACCACTGAGCTGGCATGGAGCGTACCGCCGTGAGAACAGCCAAACTGTTCCTCGACTTTGGGAGTGAATGACGTCTCGGGTCCCTGAATATTATGTTCTTTATATGGCCACTGGTATGTATATAAACCACTCGCCATCTCCAACATTCAGAACAAAAAATTGCCATCACTCCTCTTCATCACTCTTACTATCTTGACTATCACGAGTACTATTGTACTCAACTCTTGTTCATACTTGGCTTCATCATTCCACTTTCCAGCAGCATCCTCGACAGTCTCCGTGGCCTCGTGTGCTGAGAGCCAGCCATCAGCCCACTTCACCTTGCCCTTCCCTGTCCGGGTTGTTGTTCATTTCTGCTCTTTTTTCTTCTTCTTTTTCCTTCTTTTTACAAGAAGAACCATGAGTTCCCCCCCACCAGGGCCCTTCTGGAACTATCCAGTCGAAACAGTCAAAGACTGCATCACTGTCAGGACGGTTCCCGATCCTGTCCCAATGACATCGACCCCAGCTG